TATAGACATATTAATAGAAATTAAAGAAATTATGAAAACACTTTTCATTAAAGTCTTACCTTGTTTCTTATCTTTTATAGATACAAGATATTCCTTGCAGTTTCTTTTTCAATGCCCTTTCTTCTTGCAAAAGAAACATCAGCATCAGATTGGTCAGTTTTTGCCTTACCTTTGGAAATGGTCACACCACCCTTAGATGCAGCGGACTTTTTGGGTTTCTTCTTACCCTTACCCTTCCTTTTAGAAGAGTTGCCAACCAACATGACAGTTCCTTTTTTCTTCTCAGATGCAATTTGATTCTTATAATAAATCAACATATTGAGCATCTCATGAAGATTATAATTCATTTTATTCTTATTGAAATTAATAATAAATTATAAAAAGGATTCAGGTAGTGACTGCAAAATCAAATCTTTAAAAAGTTCTTCACCTATTGTGCACCTTAATTTTTGAAGTTCTTCAATAAGATCAATTATGTTCAAAACATGGGGTCCAATTAGAGAGTTAGCAGTTAGTTTGGATTCAAACAAATACTTAGATAACTGATATCTACTTGTCCTACTTTGTGCACCATATATCTTCTTAAGATGATCGATGATTGCACGGAGATCCATATCTTCATATTTCGTCTGGAGTTCAGAGCTCATAAAAGCAAGAATAATGCATTTGGCAGTAAGAAAATCTATCACGCATTTCTGAAAATTCTTGACTACTTCAACATTATCCTCAGGTTGGTCTCTCTAGCAGTTTTATCAATCATATCAATAACCTTTTCATGCATGAGAACAAGTCTTAGATTTCAATATCAATCATTAAATTTAGTCCAAACAACTTGTTGACATCAAATATGACACGCAGTGATATAACAGATATATTGAAAAATCTGGAATTAAGAAAAAAAATGCAATAATATAAGAATACATTTACATATATTATAAAGAAACGAATTTTTATCTAAATGATATTTTTACTAAATAAATAAAATAATTTTAAGAAATTTATATTTTAATTTAATGGAATAAAAGAATCTTAATTGGTAGTCAAGTTGATTCTCACACATATTTTAAAGGTAGGTACTCTTATCAGTTGTATCCCTATACAACTTTCATAAATTATTCTATATCAAATAGTCTATTGA